TATATGGCTCACTTGATAATGATATCTATATGAAAATCCTTGAAGGATTTAAGTTACTTGAAGCACAAAATTTGAATTCTCGAAAGATTTATTTGATCAAATTAAATAAATCTTTATATGGATTAAAACAATCCAGACACATATGGTATAATCACCTTAGTGAATATTTGTCGAAAGAAAGATATAAAAATGATCATATATGCCCATGTGTTTATATAAAAAAATTCGGATATGAATTTGTGATAATTGGTATTTATGTTGATGATCTAAACATTATTGGAACTCTTGAAGAGTTATCAAAAGCCATAGATGACTTAAAAAAAGAATTTGAGATGAAAGACTTTGAAAAATAAAGTTTTATTTGGGTCTTCAGATTGAACACTTGACAAATAAAAATTTTGTCCATCAATCTAATTATATAGCAAAAGTGCTAAAACGATTTTAGATGAACAAAGCACATCCATTGAGTTCACTAATGGTTGTAAGATCATTAAATGTGAAAAAAGATCCTTTTCGATCTCGTGAGGATAATGAAGAACTTCTTGGTCATGAAATACCATATCTTAGTGCAATTGGAGCACTAATATATCTTACTAGCAATACACCACCTGATATATCATTTGTTGTGAATTTATTAGCAAGATATAATTATTTTCCAACTTGAAGACATTGAAATGGAATTAAACATATACTTCGATATCTTCGAGAAACAATAGATATGGGCTTCTATTATTCAAATGCATTAAAATCATATTTAATTAGTTATGCAGATGCAGGATATTTATCAAATCCATATAAAGCTCGATCCTAGACAGGTTACGTATTCACATATGGAGGTATAGCTATTTTATGGCATTTTATAAAACAAGCTATAGTTGTTACTTCTTCTAACCATGTAGAAATTTTAGCAATTTATGAGGCAAGTCATGAATGTGTCTAGTTAAGATTTGTAACCCAACATATTCAAAAGACGTATGGTTTGTCAACCAAGAAAGGAATTATAATAACATTATACAAAGATAATACTACTTGTATAGCATAGTTAAAAGAATAATACATTAAAGGTGATCAAACAAAACATATTTCATCAAAATTCTTTTTCATTCATGATCTCTAAGAAAAGAGTGATATTAATGTTCGACAAATTTGTTCAAGTGACAATCTAGTAGATTTGTTTATATAGCCCTTCCTATTGTAACATTCGAAAAGTTGGTACAAAAGATCGGGATGCATCATTTTAAAGATCATAAATAATGCAGTTGTTAGGGGGAGTAAAATATACACTATACTCTTTTTTTTTTTCATTAAGGTTTTTCTTATTGGGTTTTTCTTGATAAAATTTTTAATGAAGCAGTATTTCATAAGCGTATTTTTAAAAAGAATTATGTACTCTTTTTTCTTCACTTGGATTTTTTTCCCATGAGTTTTTTTTTCTTGTAAGGTTTTAATGAGGCATATTCCTAATATAATGGATATTCAAAGGGAGAATGTTATGAATATTTTATGAGTATCCATTCATGTTATCTATATC